TACAGAGGGGTCTCCAATCCATAGCCACTCCATCTTACCAGGGTTCAGCTGAAGCCTGTTGCACCCAATCCAGACCCCCACAGCCTCCAGGCACCATGAAAGGGTGGTCACAGCATCACTCACTTTACCCAGGATGGAGAAGTATAACTGGGTATCATCAGTATATTGATGATACCTCATCCCATGGTGACGGATGATCTCACCCAGTGGTTTCATGTAATGTTAAAAAGGAGCGGAGAGAGTACCAAACCCTGGGGCATGCCACAAAGGAGGGGCTGCAAGCTGGACCTCTCGCCCCCAATCAACACCGATTGGGATCGACCTTGGAGGAAGGAAGAGAACCAGCACAAAACTGTCGACCCAAAATACCATGGTTGATGGTATTGAAAGCTGCTGAGGTCAAGAAGAGCAAGGATGGATGCACTACCCCCATCCCGCTCCTGCCAGAGATCATCCATGAGTGCGACCAATGCCGTTTCCGTCCCATATCTGGGCCTGAAACCTGACTGAAAAAGGTCCAGATAATCCGTTTCCTCCAGGATCTTCTGGAGCTGCAACGCCACCTTCTCAACCACCTTCCCTAAAAAGGGGAGGTGGGAGACAGGACAAAAATTGTCCAGTATGGTGGGATCCGGTGATGGCTTCTTGAGGAGGGGGTGCACCAACGCCTTGCAACTCAGGCTAAGTGTTTCTGATTCCTTCTTCCTTTCCTAATAGAACCTCAACTATCTGTTACCTCTGAATTCATTCATAAATGAGGGGTGGAAGGAAGGGGAACTTGGATATACTCACACGCTGGGACAGGAATTATACATTTCAAATGATTACTGGGGGAGTGGACTTCCTAGAACAGCCTGTTAATTCAAAGGAATTATTCATCCTCAGGATGAGCCTTCATCCTCAGAATCCAAACTTCCAATACAGAGTATAATTTCTAAAGTTTATGTTTATAAAGACTGTAAATCAGTTGGAGTACAAAGAAGGGGGAAATCAGAAATCAAATGCTTATTCATACTATTTTTAGACTGTCCTCCCTCCCTCCCTCCCATAACAAAACAAAACAATACAATACAGTACAGTACAATGGAGATTTGAGCACTAAGCTCAAATATTTATACTTTTTTCATATCATAAAAATAACTCAATGTACTACATCTGATATGGCCAATCTTCTATTAATGTTATACTGAGCATGAATTGTGTAACTTCAGTCTTTTTTTTGGTCCACTTATCAATATTGTATCTTCTGAAACTATATCTCTGTTGGAAGGAAGGGAGGGAGGGAGGGAGGGAGGGAGGCAGCCTCCTTTATGTCCTACTGCATCTTTCCTGTGCCTTGTCACACTCACCCCAAGCAAATGTATTTTAGCGGGTGGGTCTCCATTAGTAACATTCACAGCATCATCAAAGACAGTCTGGTTGCCCCGGGATAAGCGAGCCACCTTCCCCTCCACGCCAATCCCACTGACATCACCTGTTGAAAACACAGCGAAGCATCTGTCCTGGTTAGCAAGACTTAACTGGAGCAACTAATCCATAAAAGGGCGAGAGCCATCCAACTGGCTTAAAACACTCACTTTCATGATTGTTCCCCACCAGTGTTTTGTTCCGGACTTTCTTGCAAACATCCAGAATGGTAGCGCCAACATAAGCTATTTCAGAGCCAAACCGAAAACTCTGAAGCAAGAGGAGGGAGAAAAATGAGAAAAGGATCCTCCAAAGTCACAGATATTGCCCTGGGCAGCTCCAGATGGCAGACCTCAGAACCAACTCTGCAGTGCTCAAATTAAAGCAGTGTGCTCTAGTGGTTATGATGGACTATGACCAAGATAACCAAGGTTCAAGTCCAGCCAATGTTCAAAAGCTCACTTTAGAACGTGTGGACTTCAACTGCGGTCCCAGTGATGTGACAGCTGGCTCCCGTAATATATGTGCAATTTACTGGCTTTTCTCCCCCTTAGCGATGGGGTGACTCCTCATAGAGCCTCCTCACTAGGCAAACAGTCCCAAGACTGCTTATTTCAGGGAAACTTTGTGGCCTGACTTAACTCTTAATTTGAAGAAGAAAAGGATGATTAACTGTGAATGAAAAACAAAAAGTTTTGAACTTGAAACACCCCGTTTCCAGCTTGAAATGGGCCCTTTCAGTTTGGTAGACACCATTCCAACTTGACTTTTCCAGGAACATCTATGGGAGGGAGTTGTCAAGATGGCAGGTGTGTTTGGACAATCAAAGTTTTTTACATCTTGACTCCCCTTCCCCCCCTCCCCCATGGAGGGCCCTGCTTGGAACAGACTTCCTTGTGACTCAGAAGTGCTTGCTCTGAACTCCAAAGATTTTGAATTCAGATTGTTTTGTACACTTCAATAACAAGGTCTGGGGCATTCCTGTGCTTTTCAGCTGCTTCTCCATGGCCCTGAGGCTCCACCTACCTGCTCTTCCTTTAATTCCTACTTCAGTTGCTAGGAACTGAATCCTCTGGATCTAACTGTGGATCTCCTCCAATTCCAATCCAAAGCAAAGCTATCCCACAATGCCAAGTGAAACATCTCAGCTAGCCTGCAATCCTGCCTAGGCTTACCTGTGTGAGGTAGAAGATGTGGCTGTGTGGCACTTCAGAAAGTGCATTGACAGCACCCCGGAAGGTATAGATCTGCTGGTGTGGGTCTCCTACCAAGATCACACCACATGGTTGGGAGAGGACAATGTCCATAATAGCTACAGAAAGAAAGGAGATGTTTAGAAACCTGGCTTGGAAAGAAGTCCAAGTCAAAAGTTCTGACCATGAATGAAACACTCAAAAATGGATGGTAGCTTCAATGGGCTCCTTTGGATTTTGATTCTTATCACAAATGATGCCATTGGAGAATGGGAATTTCCAAAACAGCAGATCTTCTACAGGAAACCCCACCCCACCCCCACCCTAAGATAACACTAACTCTTAGTGAGCCTTCCCTAACATTAGATACCCCAGTTCTCTTTGAATCACCATGCTGGGAGGATTTGCTTTTCCAATGTATCTGGTGGTCACCAACTGCTTCTCAAGGCATGCAGAGGGACAATCCTTTACTTGTCTCCTCTGCAAAAGGGTCTTAAAAATTATGTCTGCGTGGCAACCCCACCAAATGATTGTCAAAAGACAAACCCAACCATGACTTGAAAAATTCTATCCAGAATCCTACACCTCACTCACCAGGAGTGCAATCTTGGGCCTCATCCACCAAGATGACATCGAAGTTGGAAAGGGAAGGCTTCTGAAGTTGCCAAAGTTTCAAGTAACCTAAAAAGCGTAAGGCCGATGCTTAAAATTAACATCAATATACAATAAGACAACATCTATGGTTTTTAGATCTTTGGGCCCTGCATATTATGGCAGTTCACAGCCCAATACTATTTTAAAAGGGAAGCACCATGCTATTTTCTTCTAATGATTAAAGCCATTACCAGATAGGAAACTCTGCATATGTATATTCTTGAGGACAAGTATCGGAGCTGTCCACTACCACCTTTTGAACTTGTTTCTGGTTAGCGATGGACAGCTCAAATCCCATATATATATATACGTGAAATTACGGGGTTATGCCCCAATGTGCATTACTTACTTAAACTGAATTGCACTTGTCTTATTTAGCTGATCATTCACCCAGTTTACAGAGATCCTTCTGCAGCTCTTCTTCACAATAGCATTTGGTTTTTACTACCCTAAAACTTTTAGTATTATCCACAAACTTCGCCAACCCTAAATCAGGATTGTTGATGAAGAAGTTAAAAAAGACTGTTTCCAAGATCCCAGCAGTGAACACGGTGGGATTTCACTTCTTACTTCTCTCCATGGAGAAAACTGCCCCTTTACTTGTATTCTTTTCTTTCTGTTCCTTTAGCAGTGCTAAATCTAGCAATCCTCCCCACCATATTCCACTTACCATCGTGTGTCATTTTGTATGCCATCTCTCTGGTTGGGCTCAGCATTTTCATCTTGGCCCATATTTGGTTCGCTTCTTCAATAATGATCTAGAAAGGAAAAGCAGATAAGAACTGCCAGACAAGATCAGATCTGAGGCTTCCCATCCAGGCTGCCCAGGGGCCTTGAAGGAGAAGGAAGATGTGAGTCCATTGGTAGAAGGAATCTCTGGATGAGATCTCTGACTCTCAGTTGCTCAATGGGAACAAGAACACTTCCCCTCTGCCAGAGACACACAGTCACACCCCCAACTGCACTATTAAAATGAAGAAAGCATTGAGGAGTTCACAGTGGATTTTGGTGGAAAAGGATTGCTGAATTCCATCTGGTTCTCACCCAGACAAATTCCTGGGCTCAGGACGCTTCAACTATCTATCTTTTGCACCATGTTCTCCGGTTTCCAGGAAGGAAAAAGGAGATCCCTCAAGTTTTGCTTCTGCAAACAGGATGGTCCCTCTAGGTCTCCCACCTGTCTTCCAGTCATTCCTTTCAGAAGCACACCGCACCTCATGAGCTGCATGCTGCCTGTTTGTTTGGCAGATGCTGGCCAAACAGAAATAGTCTGGGCATGGAGAACGCCTGTCTTTTATGGTCCTGCAAGATGAAGTTTCCTTCATGTGAGCAAGTAGGTTAATGAATATACCCTGAGTACGGGACAGGGGGTTTATTGACATGGGATTGCTCCCTTCTCTTTGTCAGCATCTCATCAGTAGATCTGAAAAAAGGTAACAATTGTCACAGCACTGGATCAGAACAACAGACCATCTAGTCTAGTGTTTCCCAATGTTGGCAACCTTGAGATGGGTGGACGTCAACTCCCAGAATTTCCTAGCCAGCATGCTGGCTGGAGAATTCTGGGAGTTGAAGTCCACCCGTCTCAAGGTTGCCAACATTGGGAAACACTGATCTAGTCCATCACTCTGTCTCCTGCAGTGGCCAAACAAGTGTGCCCTGCAAGTGCACAAGAAGGAAAGATGATCGTTGTCACTCTTCTAGCAAAAAAATGAATACAGGATTCTGTGAACTGATACTCACTTGCTTTTCCTGCTCCTGAACAAGAACTTTTGCTCCTTGATTGTTCTTACACCAAATGGGTGTGTGCTCCACGGTGATAGATTGATCCGCAGAAGCGAAAAAGGCAGCGAGGGTCTGGATGACCGTCTTGGCTCTTATGAACGGAGACTGGCCCTCACGATTGGAGAGGACAAAGCTGACCAAGTAGGACGTCAGCGAGCCAAAGTTAAGCTTGTGTCTGTAGCTGCAGCAAAATGAAAGGGGGAAAGTGGGAAACAGGTTTTTCAATCCCGGCCCTGAGCAACTGATATATTTACAGAGCGAGGACTCAAGGTGGTTTACAAGCAGCAGAATCATTACAATTAACATTGATCTTATGTTAATTTAATCTAGCTCAATACTAAACAATCAGCATCTAATACCCTGCAGAAGAATTTTTTTCAAGCCTTCCTCAAGGTTGGGAGATTGGGAGAATTCCTAATTTTAAGGGGGAAGGTGTTTAAAAGAGTGAGAAGGGGTGTCTCTGTGAGCAGCAGTAGGATGAAGGCCTGGAAGTGAACAAACCTAGTCTGTTCAGAACTCAACCTTTTGCCTTCGCTGTTCAGAGCTCTAGGGCTGGGACCAGGCCCCATGAGATTTCAGCTGCAGATGTCAGGAGCCCTCGACTGGAACCTAATAGCTTTAAAAGGGTTACATTCATGGAATACAGGACTCTCAAGAGCTATCAGTCTTGTGGACTCCATGTTACCTCTGGACTGGGGGCAGTCTGTCTCCAAATCATAATTGCTAGGGAACCACAGCAAGAGGGGAAAGTTTCCATCTCCTGCTTGCAAGAGAAGTTGACCAGGAGCATCTGGTCAGCCACAATGAAAAGCCCAAATGCTGCATTAAGATGGGCCTTGGCCTGATCCAACAGGTCTGTTCTTATGTTCTGTGGAATCCATTCCCATAAGACGTAGTGATGCCCGCTAACTTGGACGGTCTTAAAAAGGGACTGGGTACATTCACGGAGCAGATGTCCAACTCCACCACAGATATTAACAATCTTTCCAGCACCGGGGGAGACCTTTTTCATTTCACAGATATTTTAAGAAACCAGTTCAGATTAGTATGTTCTTGTTTTGCTGCTGGTGTATTGTGATCTTGCCACCTCTTGGATTGGTTGCTATAATTTTTATCTATTTATCCTTTCTTTTTCATAACTTTGTACTGCATCGCGTCAGTGTTTTCTAAAACCCGGGCACATTAACTAAATAGGACAGGGTCACTTACCGTTTGCCCACTTCTGTGAAAGCTAAGGAGTGGACTGTTTTACAGGTGACGTTGGGAGGGAAAACCTGCGTTCCCTGCGCTGCAATGGTTTTGTTGAACGCCAAGTACAAAAATTGAAGGTGGGACCACTTTTCTGCGTACTGGATCAGAGTGGACGTCTTCCCAGTGCCTGTGCGAGAAATTGAAAACATTTCAGTCCTTCCAGATCTTTTCCTAGCCAGGTTCCTACAAGAGAGCCAGGACTACTGTACAGTAGAGATTCCCAGGATTTTTCAGGATGACAGTCACATTTGCAAACCCTGTGGGCAGAGTTAGGGAAAGAAGTGGGTGGGGTCCAGGGGCACCTGCAAGGTGGGTCAAAGAAGTCAAGAAGCTAAGCTACAACTGGTTTCAAATGCAGCTGCCCAAGGAGTTATGGGAGTTTTTTCTTTTGCCCATACAAGATCTCCGCACCACAAGCTGCACTGGTTACCAATAGTATTTTGGGTGCAGTTCAAGATATTGGCCATCACCTACATAGCCCTTCAGGTCATGACGCAGGTAAAAAAAGGGAGAGCACCACCATCTTCACTTTCTTGATCCCTCTGTGGATGTCCCTGCCATGTATTTAACAACCTTTCATTTCTATCCCACAAATTGGTGGCAATGCATTTTTGTAAACCAGTACATAGGGTTACACCCGAGGCTTTTCAGGGCCACCCACAGCTCTAGAGGCACTCCCTGGGGGGGAGGCTGGAGGAGAAAATGGGGGGAAAAATGCTAAAACCAGCACTGTCTCATTGCAGCACAAGCCCTGTCCCTTTTGTGCATGTGGAGTGTGCGTTACAACGGGGGGATGTTGCCTCAGTCATTTTGATGGAAGCCTCCAAGATGCTCTGCACAGCCTGAGGGCCGTACAGCAGGCTCTGGCAAACTGTGTTCCACGGGACCTGGGAGGTTCCACGAGAACACAATGGGGTTCCATGGGAGATTAAGGGCAAAACATAAAAAATAAAAACCTTCACCCAAACGCAGCTAATTTTCTGTCACCAGAGCTGTACAGATCACCAAAGGGACCCTCTTTGTCCCAAGAATGCTACAATCTCCTCATTAATGGTGGAGAAGGACCATAGCAACATGTATCAGCAGCAAGGAGAAAATGGTTTTGGACAGCAAGAGACCTTTGGAGGGGTCAAGGAAAGCTGGGGAAATAAAGATCTGGGCAAGGTTATCTCAGCTCAAAGATTTGCAGTGATTAGTGAGCTTACACCTAGGGAGAGAATCAAGCGTCTTCTGGGCTCAGGCTGCCTTACCTGCAAAAGCCACAATTTTCACCACCTGTCCAGGTGTAAGGGCGTGGTTTAAGATCTGTTGTTGTTCGTTAGTAGGTTGTAAAGCAGGCCTGTTACTGAACAGAACCAGAAGAAAGCAAAAGGTTAACATAGGTAACCCTGTGGTCCTTGCAACGTAGCAAACAAAGTCTAACTCAGTATTTCTCAACTTTGGCAACTTTAAGATGTGTGGACTTCAATTCCCAGAATTCCCCAGCCAGCATTGCTTTACAAACCCGTGAAAGTCATAAATGTGAGGACTGGTCCAAAGTGACTTTTTCATCACTGTCGTAACTGTGAATGGTCACTCAATGAGAACGACCTTATTCTGCAAATGCAGACATCTGTGTCGTGTGAGTGTGCCATCATGCGTCATGACCTCCTTCCTCAAGCAAATGATGCAAATTTGCACAACGATGCCACCACACGCGTGACATCCCTGTGGCTTCTCCAGGGTGCTTATGTATAACCCTTGCCTATGGCCAGCCAGCATCAACGTAGGAGACAGAAGTCCTTGAAGGTCAAATGTTTCCTAGACTGGGTAGAGCTGTGCAATTATGAATCAGGGCCAAAGCATCATTGGTGTACGAGGAGGCCTTGCACATCCAGCTCCTGTTTTCCACACTCCCTGCCATCAATGTTGTGGAGTGTTTTTTGGATTCTCTGACCCTTTGCTCTTCACCCCAATTCTGCCTTGCAACGGGCAGCAATGCACATCTGAGCCACAGTTCCATAAGTTGCTATCTGCCGCCTGGAGTTGTATGCTTCCTACTGCACGCGCATAAAAGAGTAGTCACGAGGGAAGAGCTGTTGCCAGCCCAGCTCCTGTCCTCACTACATCTCTAGGTTCATCCTGGTTAGTGCGATCAAGTTTGTCTCAGGCACTCTGGCAGCTGCCTCAACTGGGGGGACTTCTTCCATGATTCTTGCAGAGTTCTTTAACATGATTTATTGAGAGGAAAGGGACAGGGTACAAGAATTTCAGCAACTAAACTATTCCATTTAGAACCAATTTTTCCCCAATACATTAAGGCCGAGCCTTTCTTAATTTCTTTCTAAGAGCATTTCTGTGAACCAGTAAGACAACCGTTCTTTTCACAGATAATGGAGAATCTCAGAGGTGGCTGTTTACAAAACCATCTCCTGAATTCATCCAAACACTATTACGTTTTACTCAATATCAAAAGACATGGGTAAATATAATAGCTTTATAAACATAGCTTGTCTTTCAGTTATAAAATGCGTGGCTATTAGAGGGAAGAAAATTAGAATATTGAAGGGAAATAACAGTGGAAGATTAATTTCCTCTTCCATGCATTTACTACGTACATAGAGACACAGAGTGGCTATCATAGCTGCTCTCCTCAGAGAAGCTATGTTTGTGAACATTCTGTAGTATCACAGTTGCTGCCAGCACAACCAGGCACCATTATTAATACAAGAAGACAATGTACACACCTAAAACCTCTTTCACTGCTGGATAATTCAGGGTTTATGACTGCTGCACTGCAGTGAGTATTCTCCAGGAGATACAGGCAAGAGAAAATATTGTAGTGAATCCTAAAAGAATCCGGAAAAGGAGAAAACAAGTCAGAAGGAACCTCAGAGGAATCCTAAATTGTTTATAATCCAGTAAATAATCCAGAGAGGGGAGTAAACACATCTCACCAGACTTCTGCTATAATGAACTGACTCTTGAAAGTAGCAGCATCTTTTTCAGACTCACAGGTAAGCCTGAACAAGGATGCGGCTGCTTTAATGAGTAGGAGAGGTGTTTTCTTGTGCAAGATTCAAGGCGCTTCTTCTGAACCATTTTTCAAAGCATGCACAGCCCTGCTAAAGACATCCCTCATTTTACCGCTGCCATAAATGTTCTTCTCTACAGGTTTCAGTCTCAGGAACCTTCTCACTCCTTGCAAGCTTACCTGTTACTGATCAGGACATTCTTCTCTCGCATGGCATAAAGTAGGGTGGCCATGCAGTACAACATCTCAAGGATGTCCATCAGTGAGACGGTAGAGCTGGGTCTCCGGAGACAGGCCACCAGCTCCTGGATATCGCAAACACCTCCAGCAAAGAGCACAATCGCCACCATCACTGCCAGAGCATATACTATCTGGAATAACATGGGTTGAATCATTATGGGGGCAACCTTTTTTGTCCCACAGGCTGTATTTTCTGTTCTGTCTGGGACCTACAGGGGAGCAGGACAAATGGTAAGCAGGTGGGGACAAAGATTTTGGTCCTTTATTTTATAATTTGTGGGGTTGGGGAGATTTTAGAGGCAAAACAGGATGGCTTGCAGAGATGTAAAGTATCCATTTTACCATACAATATTCCCCTCCCTCCAAAATGGGAAAACTCTTCCAGTTGGGGGGAGTTTCTGAGGAGCTTTTAGGGTATAAGGACTGCCTTGTGATTCTACAAAGTTTAAACCCTTTAAAGATTGGAGAACTAAATCTGAAAAATGTTGACCTCCCCTCTGATCAGAAGCCCTAAACTGGAAGGAATGGAACTGCAGACGAGACCACCCCAAATATAAGTGGCATGGATATGGGGACCTGACTCAGAAGATTCCCCCTAAACACTGCCCGCCAATCTGGTTCTCACCAGCTTTCTGCCTTGCCCCTGGTCCTTCTCTTCTACCTCTCAATGGACCCTCAATTGAGCTGTCCTCTCCATTGAGACCTGTAATGGGGTAACTTGAATCTGGACTTTACTGCAGAACAGAACAAAGGTAAAAATTCCTAATTTGGTCTCCCTTTTAATTGCTTCCCTTGCTTACTAACAGAGGTGTTCAATTTATTCTCAAATAAAGGTTTTTAATTGCATTTTGTTTCTCTTTGATATTATTTGTTGTTGTTGTTCAGTCGTTAAGTTGTGTCCGACTCTTCGTGACCCCATGAACAGGAAATTCCATATGCTTAAGTGTCAGTGTGAGATAGTGAAAGCAGTATGTTTGCAACTGATAATCATTCTTGCCTGGGGAACACCCTTCACTAAAAGCTGAAGTCAGAGAAGACTGCAAAATTCAATGCTCTTACTTAGTGTGGTCTAAGAACTTTGTACTGATCCTCTAACTCAACAGCAGGACTCACCCTTTGTCTGCAACTTATTAACTGGGCTGGAGGCAAACCAAGGGTCAAATTCTTTGCCTTTGGAAAAGGGCAGCCTTTTGACCCAAAAACATCTCTCTTGGCCTGATCATCCAGGTTTGCAAAGTTTCATCTTTTGGGGAAGACGGTTCAATAGAAGACAATATCTGTAGCTCAGGGTTGACTGTGGAGTTCTTAGTGCTCTCTGACCCTGGTCATTTGCTTGTAGACATTTCATAACCCAACTAAGCACTGATGATGTTACCTAGCTGAGAAATGTTCAACTGGCTGGGTGGTCCATTCAGCAGACAGAACAGTCATAAGCAAAACCTAATGTGTCTGTTAGATTGTCCTCTAGCAAGATTGCCTGAGTGAGTGAGTGAATGGGCACTGGGCAATAATCTCAGGATTTAACCTTCTACCTTTCTGCAGATTTCATGGACCACAATCATCAAGAGGTTGAATATTTTTTCACCATATCCAAATCATTTACACCCATCAGTACTTGAATCCACTGCCTTTTGAGTGACATCCTCAAATTTTGAAAAAGAAAACCCATACTTAATGGAAAACACAATGGAAACACCCCAAAACATCAATTCCAGGCTGTGTTTAAGCCTGCAGGACATACTCTCTGTTTGGGACCCTCCAAATCAGGAAGCCTCTTGGTGATACAGATTTGCGCCTTGAGAAAGAGAGAATGGTGTTTCAGACACGCAAGGATAGCGGTAGGATCTTGGCAGTGGCAGCTCCAAATAGCAGAGACACATCTGGATGGATTGGAAATGGAAACATGGGCAGGTTATGGCCTTCCACATGGGCACAGACTCTTTTCCCAGTTCACCTAGTTTTTGTCAGGACCATGTTAGATGCCTAGCTAACCATGGCTAGCTGCTCGAAGCTAAGCAGGAGTGGACTGGTCAGTCCTCGGACAGAAATCCCAGAGTTGTAGGCTGGAGTGGGAAGTTGGGAAACATCCTGTAAAAAGACAGTGGCAAACAGTTCCAGGATGTTGCCAAAAACCCCTCAATGGATGTGTCCCTGAAGTCATCAAAGAGTTGAGCTTGATTTGAAGGAGGCTTTGTTGTTGTTGTTATTAGTAGCAACAGCAGCACCTTCAAAATGTCTCCAGTAGAGAAGGACCCTTTTAACCAACAGCTGACCAGAAGAACAGAAGAGCATTGGTGGATCTGACCCTCAGCCCATCAAGCCAGCATTCTGGGTCATCTAGTGGCTAACTGATGCATTTGGGATGCTCCAAAGCTGGATTGGTGGAAAACTGCCTGCTCCTCTCTCTCTTCCCAGCAGCCAATGTTTCAATCCTAACTTTTAACCAACCGCTTTCAGTCACTTTGGAACCTGATTATGAACCCGTCCTGCTCCCTTTGAAAACCACCCCAGTTGGCTCCTGTTAGCCCTACTACCGGCAGTAAATGCCACAGTTCAACTCTGTGTGGTGTGAAAGAGCATTTCTTTCTACTGGACCCAAATCTCCCTGCATTTAGTTTTCAAGGTGATTAAGATTAAGGTCTCTTTCCATCCTATCTATGGCATGAATGATTTTATATACCTCTTTCAAGTCCCCCATCACTCTTTATTTCAACTAAAAGACCCCAGTTACTATAAACTTTCCTTGAAGGCCCTGATTGCCACCCACATCGTGTCTTTATTTTTGCAACTTTTCAAGTTCTAGAATATCTTTCTTAAGGTGCAATAGCCAGAACTCTGCCCAATACCTCAAGTGCGGTATGAACTTTTGAACAAGCTACCGGCTCTTTTATTTTTATGTACATTTTTATACATTCATATTCATTTCTCACATGAGAAAGGAAGAGAAGACCAGCCTAGTCAGGACCAAAAGCAAAGTTCTGCTTGTTTTCCAATCTGGTGTTTCTTTCCCACTGACCCAACAGATGCCCCCATGAAGTTCCCTATCGCAAAACATTATTATGCACTGAATAAAGTCAATCTTTGCGTGGTGGAAAAGTACAGTATGGGGATACTTCATGAACTAAAGCACAGGAGATGATGCATCGCTGCGCTGATGCTGAAGGCCACTCACCGAATAAATCCCAACATGCACTGGGTCCGCTCCTGGGTTAGGCCGTACCGTTGCAGAATGACTTGAACGGTCAATGCGGCTCGGTCTACTGCTTTCAAATACTGATAATACAACTTCTTCCAAGGAATGAACTGAAATGCCAGAGTGAAACATCTGATATGCTTTGAATCCAGAGGCACTTTTGACTGCATGCATTTTTCGCTTTAGGGACTCAACCAGTCAGAAGCATCACTTGTACAGGAACCATTAAATTAGAAATGAAAGTTTTCTTTGGGACTGTTTTGCCTCACAAAAAGCAAGACCAAAATTTTACCTTAAAAATCACTAAGAAAACAGGAAGAATTGCCCTTGATTTGACTTAAAGAACAGGAGAAGCATAGTACAATTCAGAGCGTGGTCCACCTCCCCATAATTCAATGGTTGCACCATCGTTTGATTATTCACTTACCAAAGTGTTGTTAGCAGATAAGAGTTAGTGTTTCTCAAACCTGGCAACTTTAAGACATGTGGACTTCAACTCCCAGAATTCCCTGACCAGAATGCTGGCTGGGGAATTCTGGGAGTTGAGGTCCTCCCGTCTTAAAGTTGCCAAGGTTGAGGAACCGTGAGTTAGGTTATATACAAGGGTGCCCACAGAGTGAAGTCAAAAAGGTCAAGATGGCGCTCAT